AAAAAAAAAAAAAAAGAAAAAAAGAATTGTGGGTACTGAGTACATTAACTCAGAATGTATTCACGCATTGATTTTCGCATTAATACCTGTTACCTTTTCATGAAATAAATATAAATTAGTTGGTAAATTGTAGATAGTGTTGATGTAGTAATAGTTTTCCAAGACTATCTTTTTTTGGAGTGACCACTTCCTGGGAAAGCTTTCAAATATTGAGCCTTATATAAGAATCACCTATGACCAGAAGAGAGAAGGTTACGTGAATCTACATAATAGAGCCAATTCTACAGCTTGATGTTCTTTCCAAGAAAACTAAAAATGTGTTCCAGATGTAACACTGTGGTAGTTTCTGTGTTTAAGGTCACAAGATTCCTCAAAAGACCTTTTAAAAAATGCCCCAAATAGAGAATCTGGTCTAGAGTAGGGGACACAAAGGGTATAAGCCATCATTTTGAGACTGGGAGCTACAGCCAATGGAGCAAGTCTCTTTGGCAACATTACCTTCTACTGATAGGAAGACTCAAACTTCTGGTCTTCTCTTTTCTGGGCCTGATATATGTTTTTTTCTGTTGGCCATTTGTTTCTTGTTTCCATGCCCACTTCACATTACTCAGATGACTGTGGCTCATTTAGACATCTGCTGTCCAATACAGTAGCCACTAGCCACATGTGGCTATTTAAGTTAATTGTTTCTTATTGTGGTAAAAATATATACAATAAAATTTACCATTTTAACCATTTTTAAGTGTACAGTTCTGTGGCATTAAGTACATTAACTCTGTTGTGCAACCATCACCACCATCCATCTCTTAGAAATCTTTTATCTCCTCCAACAGAAACTCTGTACCATTCAGTGCTAACTCCTCATTCCCCTCTCCCCTCAGCCCCTGGCAATCACCATTCTCCTTTCTGTCTCTATGAATTTAACTACTCTAAGTATCTCAAATAAGTGGGAACATACAGTATTTGTCTTTTTGTGACTGGCTTATTTCACTTAGCATGATTTTCTCAAGGTTCATCCGTGTTGTAGCTTGTGTCAGACTTTCATTCCTTTTTAAGGCTAAATATGTCATTGTATGTATATATCATAACATATTTTGTTTATCCATTCATCCATTGTTGGACACTTGGACTGATTCCCCCTTTGGCTATTATGAATAATGCTGCTATGAACATGGGTGTACAAATATCCCTTTGAGACCCTACTTTAATTCTTTGGGATATATACCCAGACGTAAAATTGCTAGATCATATGGTAATTATAATTTTTTGAGGAACCACTGTACTGTTTTACATAAGTGCTATGCCATTTTACATTCCCATCAAAAGTGGACAAAGGTTCCAATTTATTCACATCTT